CTTGGTCTAAATAGAGAACTCTACTAGCAGAATTGCCAACCTCAAATTCAAGAGTCAAAACAAAAGCCCCCAAAAACTCAGAAGCATTTTTGTTTTGCTAATGTTCTATCTTCAATTCGTGCTTTACAACCAGAAGGACTACAAATATGTCATTTAAAATTAAATCCGTGATCTTCCTCAATTTGCATACATCAGGAACCAGACTTTAAAACAAAAAAAAAGCTCGGTAACTTTAAAACTAAACAGAACACCTTTTGCAGTTCTAACAACTGGCTGTAGGTGACCAACTGACCCAAAATAACAGATCAGCAAAGGTAATTTAGATCACTTCCAAGCAATTTCCTTTCCCATCTCCTTCCTCTCCCAAGAATGCTCTTTTAGCTGTCTCCTAATAAAGAAGCACCATTACCCAAACCATATGGTTCACCTTCCAGCATCAGCGTTTATCTGTATCTACCGAGGGTGAACAGGCAGAGAACAGGGTAGGACAGGAAACCACAGCTCACAGCTGAGACAAATGGTCTGTTTGCTACTCTATTAGAGCACCAGAGCCTTATCTTGGATGCAAACAAGATTGTGAAATAGAAAGGGAGGGGGGGGGGGGAAGACCAAACAAAGCCTGTGATGCTTATCGTGTTTCAAGATGGGTGGAGTGCAAAACCCAGAGACAGATCAATTACACCTACAAGGTAAGCAAGAAGGAGGAGCAAAACACAAATATTTTGAGTCTGTAGGATGTGGGCTAATTTATCTGATGGCACATGTCCTAATGTAACATTTACAGAATTGATAGGATTGAAGAGGACCTCTAGTTTTCATACAAAAATAAAGGAATGCATGACACTAAAATCTAAAAATAGTATTGGTACAATTACTTATCCAATTTAATATCTATCTGGTAACAATTCACCTTTCCTACTGTTTTCATGCCTGCACAGAACAAGCAGCAATTGCTCAAGCTAAAAGTACATCCTGTAATTCTGACATTAAAATTAGCAAGTTGGTGGTTTGTCTCTGGAAAGGTGAAAGAGACATATATATACAATGTAGAGAACAATTTGATTTTATATATTTGCAATTAGCTAAGCTGTGGGAGCTGCATGTGCAGGTTTGAGCTGAATGTTCGATGAGATAAATGAATGTGAGGGAAAAAAGTGATGCAACAAAATACCTACCACTGCAACCCAGCATACTGGATAACTACTGCTCCAACACTTCCACATGTAATTCCTGATTATATCTACAAAATGGTCAAAAAAACCTTTTAAAAACCTGAAAGCCAACTGCTGTGTATTCACCATTTCATCTGTTTTTAGAATGATGGTTGACAACTATGTCTGAAATCGCTCAGGCTCCTGTGTCTCCTTACTTGAGAGCTGGTCTTTAATTACTGAAATATTAGTGTCAGATTTGACTGGGTTTCTGTGGAATGACCATGCAACAGTCAAACACACCACAACCTTTCTTTCCCCAACAAACTGTGCATGACTTCTCTGTACCAAGTGACACTCCACGAACAGGCACCTAGAGCCTGGCTAAGCCTGAGGGCTGCAGCCTGCGGACACTGCGCCTCCAGCAGTGCGCTGGCAGCCCCACATTCCTGCACAGGACTGCATGCCACCAGACAAATGCTGGCATTTATCCAGCAGGTCACTCAAACTAAATTATCACCTGCTGCCATTCAAAAAAAAAAAAAAAAAAAGGAGGTATTTACAAAATTACATAGGACAAGATAAACTTTCTGTAGATGTTACAGAGTTAAAAGAGGCCAAAGGATTAATTGAATCTTAAAGCTTGAAGACTGAAAATCCTTATGGTTTATGATCACATCAGAGACTTAGAACAGAATTATCTGTCCTTAAGCCTTTGAAGTTTATCTTGCTCCTTAAACTTTTACTGAAGTTCCATTAGGTTCTAACAATTTTCCAATTTGCTTCTTCTGTGATCAGTAGCTCTTGAATGATGTTAGCAGCAATATATTTCCATCTGCGCCATGCAGTTCTCCCTGCTGCTTAAAAAGTTTGTCTGTGTAATTTACTAGTACAGCCAGTAACACAGCTGCCTAACTGCAGTATTGTCTAGTAGTACTCCTGAGTTACACAGCACTTCTTCAAGAATAATTCCATAATTGGCAATAATACCATCCCTGCTTAACAAAATGGCAAATAAAACAGAACACCATATCGTGTGTGTATATTCATAACTAAATCAGTAACTTCAGGTCATCAGCTCTGAGCTGATAGAAGAGAGTCAGAAGTCCATGTTCTATCACTTTAATTATTTAATTATAACTTTATTTATGCTTTATATTAAACTTTACATACTCACTTTATTAATTTATGAAAGCAAAATATGGACCACAATCTTTTAGGTAAAGCAAATAAGGGTTGAGTCCTTATGTTAATAATGAACCTATTTTCCCCTGCACCTTAGTGGGAAAACATTTCTGAACATAGAAAAAGAAAAGAAAAAGAAAACCTTTCCTTAAACATGATCATATATTCATCTCCTAAAACAGATTAAAATACTATAAGTGAACTGAGGTTATTTTGATTCATTTGCAAACCCATAGCATTAAATACTTACAAGATTCTAAATACTTAAGAGATTCTTGTACATTACCAGGGAACACAGGAAGCTGCTGCTAGCAAGCATCTTCAGTGCTGTGAATAAACCCATAGAATTTAGCTATTCGCTTTTTAAAACATTGTTTATTGAGAACACTTAATGAGGACTAGGGCTTCAATAGCAAATATTTAACCAAGAGCACAGATTCCCTCATACAAGCACAGCTGTCCCAGCCTACTTGGGGGAAATTCATTATGATAATAAAAGATATGAGCTTTAGCCTTCCTTTATTTAACCCAAGCTATTGACGTTTCTTAGGCAAAGGAACCCATACCCCACATCTCTCTCATCTCCTTTTTGACAGGAACAAGTTTCCAGAAGACTGGGGTACTGCAGTTCTGCACAAAACAGCAGTCTTTCAGGGCAGCCAAAATTACACCTGGATCATGTGGAGTACAAACCATTTCAGTACAATTCCCACTAAGGACAAAACAACTGACCTTGCCAGTGACACTGGAGTGTTAACCTGGTACATCACCCCAGGCAGGATAAGAGTGTACGTTTATTTTGCAGTGGGTAGGTGCTGCCCACAGAACACGAGCTGGGGAAACAGCGATCCAGGGGCAGGAGGGGTGGCTCCTGAGCAGGGGTGCCAGCACGCTCAGGAGAGCCAACAAACACGAGCTGGGTGGCCTCCTGTGAGGCCAAGCACAGCTGAGAATACAGTCCCAGGGCTACAGGAGTACTTTCATCAGTATCCTAAAGCAAAACTTTTGCATCTAATCCCAGTGATTATACAGATGATGTTATCCTTGCACATTGTGTTGGCTGTCCAATGTGGGAGGTGGGGAAGAATTCTTTCTTGTGGGCTGTCTTGTTAGAAGGATTAAGTTATGGCCATCCACAAAATTTATGCAGAAAATATTTCACACTCCAAATTTTATTTTTAAAAATTTCATCCCGCTACTGCTCCTTTTACCCTCACATGCTGCAGTAGATCCTCATTCTCCTTTCCTTGGGGCTAACAACATTCAGCTATAAGAAAGCAGTTGTACAGAGATTCAGTCCATAAGATGTAGGTCAATGACTGAGGAAACTGACATTATTTAGGACAGCACATGAATATTTGACATGTGCACGAAGTTAAGCCTGTGTATGAATGCTGCTCTAAACTAAGGCCCAGAGATGAAGAAGATCCTATCCCTCGGAGCTTTATTCAAACATAATTACTGAAACACAAATTCCGTACGGGGGTAAAGCTGCACTTCCAGAAGCAACACCACAAGATAATACTATAGCCACTCTACACCTGGTGGCAAAGTGCCTCAGAAGGGCTCTAACTGCCAGCAGCGCCAGCCAAGACCGCAGCGAGTGCGCTCCATCAGGATCTTCTCCTGCCATTACCTAGGGCATATTACTCACTACTGCTCTAATGAAAACTGCCAAGTTAACAAATACAAATAAATAAAAGACCTGCTTTGTTTTTTTAATACATGAAAAACCCATTTAGCTAACACTATGAATACATTTAGCTGTAAGAACTGGAATTAAAAATATATGTAGCTTGAATCTACATTCTAACCTGCAGCTAACAAAATCTCAAATTCAGTACTTAGGACAGAGGAGTTTTCTGAGGGATTTTGGTTTTGTTTTGTTTCGTCTGTAGGGTGGGGCTCTTCTACATCCTAGAAGAAAACCTCCTTACAGTTCTAAATGAAGCTAACTGGCACTTCAGTTGGAAAACTCAAATTAAAGGCTCGGAGTTCAATTACTGGAGAGAGAAGAGGAGGGTTCAAGTAGAGACTAGTTCATAAAGCAACCACATCCTTGTAATTTATCTTTTATGTTAGACAGTTTTCCACTTTGGTGAATCTGAAAAACACTGAAGACAAACTAATTTTAAAAAAACAAACAAACAAAAGTCATGCCAGAAGGACAGGTCAAAAGGGGACCAGGGTCTAAGTGCTTTTAGATGAAACCAGAGTTTAGTCTTTATCTAGAAAAATACCATAAATAATTTCTGCCCTTTAAGAAATAATCTTTTCGAAATCTCTGCAGAGACTTCCTTTGCTTTGATTCTTGATCGCTATGTGATCACTAGTTTTTCTTTTATATCTATATCTATCTGTTATCGAGTAACTTTTACTACATGCTTTTCTAGTTATTTGCAGGAGTGTGGTGGTATACAGATGAATTCCACATTTAGAACCTACATAGGAAAATGGAAATATCCAGATGGATTTTTTTCTTCTGAACTAGCCCGTGAATAATTTCAGAGGCAGGTATAATTGCTTCCACATGCACAGACACAGCCGGCACAATCACAAATTTATGTTTACCATTTAACAAAGATACATGTACAATATTTATTTATAAACAACTGACAGTAAGAGTAGATTTTCCAAGTGAGTGTAAAAGCAACTTCTGAACAGCAACAACAAGCAAAGGGACGAGGCATTCGGAGAGCAGAGCCACTCCTGGGTCGGTTCCCGCCGCCCCGCGGAGCCGGGAGCGCTGAGGGGCCGGCGCTGCCCGCGCTCCGCGCCGGGGGCGAGAGAACCGCGGCTCTGCCGGCCCCGGCCCGGCCCCGGGCCTCTCCGCACACACTCCCTCTCGGCGGAGCGGACCCGGGCGCGGGCACTTCCACAACCTGCGCCCCGCCGCCCTCGCAGCCCCCTCGCAGGGAGGAGCCGCCGGGAGGAGCCGCTCCGGCCGCCCGCCCGGCCCCGCCGTGCCCCCGAGGGCGCTCCCCAGCCCCGCGGTGCCACTCACCGACTGCAGGAAGCGGAGGGTCCCCACGTAGTCGCGCTCGGTGCTGAGGATCTCGTTGAGGACGCAGAGGCGGAGGCGCAGCTGGCGGTCGGTGTCCTTGGGGCAGCCGGCGGGCTCGGCGGCGCTGGGGGCGCCGGGCGGGGGCGGCGGTGGCTCCATGGTGGCGGCGCGGGCCGGGCGCTCCGCTCCCCGCTCCCTCAGGAGCCCCCCATGGCCCTCTCGGCCCTGCCTCGCCCGCGGGCCGAGTCGTTACAGGAGCCGGGTGCTGGGCGAAGCCCGGCTGCGGGACATGCCGTGCTAGCGGCGCGGCACCGCTGAATAGAGCGCGAAGGGAAGTCCCGGTGGCGGGGGGGGGGAAGGAGGGACGGGGCGGGCGCAGGCGGCGGAGCCCGGCCCCGGGGGCCGGCGGAGGGCAGCGGGGCGGGGCGAGAGCAAGGGCAGTACGGCTTTGTCATCTCGTCGTCCCGCGCGCCCTCGTAGTCGCCTGTCCTCAGCTCTACGTCCAGCACACACACAGCCGCGTGTCCTCCTCGCACGCAGCCCCTCTCACGCATCGCCTCTCATCCGCACTCCCCCGTCTCCTCCCACACGCACTCCCTCACCCCCGTGCGCTGCAGACCCCGCACACCTCGCCCTCTGCCCCCCCGCATTTCACAGTGTGTGGAGTTGCTGCACAGCCCTCACAGCACGGTCACACAGCCCGCACAGCGCGGTCGCACAGCGCGGTCACACAGCACGGTCACACAGCACGGTCACACAGCCCGCACAGCACGGTCACACAGCCCGCACAGCCCGCACAGCGCGGTCACACAGCACGGTCACACAGCCCGCACAGCACGGTCACACAGCCCGCACAGCCCGCACAGCGCGGTCACACAGCACGGTCACACAGCCCGCACAGCCCGCACAGCGCGGTCACATAGCACGGTCACACAGCCCGCACAGCACGGTCACACAGCACGGTCACACAGCACGGTCACACAGCCCGCACAGCCCGCACAGCGCGGTCACATAGCACGGTCACACAGCCCGCACAGCACGGTCACACAGCACGGTCACACAGCACGGTCACACAGCCCGCACAGCCCGCACAGCGCGGTCACATAGCACGGTCACACAGCCCGCACAGCACGGTCACACAGCACGGTCACACAGCCCGCACAGCCCGCACAGCGCGGTCACATAGCACGGTCACACAGCCCGCACAGCACGGTCACACCGCGCGGCCGGACACGGGGCTCACCCCACGGCACACGAACACAGCACAGCGCGGTGAACACACCGCAGCTTCCCGCACGAGCAGGGACTTGCCCCCAGCCCTACAGGCCCGACCCGGCCCACCGCTAAGCGGGGGTCACACAGACACCGCCGTTGTCACACAGGAACACACACAGCACAATGGACACAAACGGGCAGAAATAAGGAATCACAGACTTCCATGCCAGCAAAGAATAAATACAAAAGCAGGTTTCATCGCTGTAAATCCAAAATGCAGAGGTTTTAAGTTATTTACAACTGCTTGTGCAAAGTGAGTGTGCAGCATAAGATGAACAGGGCAAACTGCGCACAAAACCAGGCTGAGGGCTGCAATTCAGCACTACTCCTCCTATTCCCAGAACGCTAGGTTCATAATGATGGAGATTCTCCCAAATATCTTCATTCCATCACAAGAACACTGCCAGGCTTTTGGCAGAGTACAAATACTTTTTTTTCCTTTTCTTTTCTTTTTTCTTTTTTTTTTTTAATTAGGGAAAATGGTTTCAAGAGGAAGATTTAAAAATGTTAATAATGTGAACTCTTAAGAGGCATAATAATAGAGACACTTATTGGATATACTACCTTAAAAAGTAAACTTAGCAAAACTAAATGTAACAAATAATGTAATAATTGTCATCTTCCCCCGGCTAAACCAAAATATCTCTTGAACTTTTTTTATCTCAACATGGGCTTTTTTATATTCTCACTGATCATTTCTCTGGTTTTTAAGTTTTCTGTTCAGGAATAAGTCTAACACACCCAATTACCATCTCAAGGCTTCATGGATATCAAATTACATGGAATGAAAATACAGCTCTTGGGTCAAGACACAGTTACAGCAGGCTGCAGGTCTGCAGTGTAAAGAAAATATCTCAAATGCTTTCATCCCTAGGTGTGGAAATTGTCTTTATTAAATGTCAATATTTTATTTCCCCATGTCTCCTAATGAGGTAGTCTTGGGTCAAGGTGTGCGGTTACCATGGCTCTCGTGATGCCCTGCGGTAGCACTTTCTGCATCCTCATCCCAGCGACAAGCGTTCCCCTCGCTCCGAGTCAGTCTGAAACACCATGGTTCAAAAGGGGAAAGAAGGTGTGGGAACGGCCTTGTCGCCCTGGGTGTCGGGTCCCAGGGAAAAGCACCGAGGGGACGGACCGGCCGGGGCGACTCTGGGCTCTGTGCGGGTCTCAGCTGCGCCGAGGAGCGCTCCGGGCTGCGGAGAGCCCTGCAGAGCGCGTCTGGGACATGGACAGCGAACCAGAATCTCTACAAGGTCAGATTAGACTCTAAATTCACTGGGTTTCTTTCAAGTTCTTTACATTTAACCTTTCATTTTCTTCTGAAAGTCGCTTCCATTTATTTACTCATTTTGTATCCAGTTTATCTCTTGTTTAAAATCATGGAATGGTTTTGGGTTTTTTTCTGTTTGGGGCAAGAGGCAGGCGGCAAGACTTTCTTTTAAAATATCCTAATTAAATAACAATACACCCTGTTAAGAAAAAACACCATCACCAAAGCTACGCCCCCACCCTGTGGCTGAGTGAGAAAGTTGTTAGTTTTAAAGCTGTTAATTTGCTATCTCTGTCTCCAGCGTTTTCCTCAAAAATCCAATAAGAATTTCATTTCCATAGCAAGTGCTGAGACAGGAGCCTATTACAGCCTAAGTAGAATGTTTACCGATGCGATGCCTCCACCGCTGGAGGACAATTGCCTTTTTGTCACCATGGTGTACAAGCTACATTGCTTCAAAACACTCCTCTAGCTTTAGTGGCAGTATTGAAAGCACTACTGCATAAGGATTTTAACAAGGATGTTACTTGTGACTGGAAATTAAAATTAAAGGAAGATTTTTCACTCTTTTTTATAAAGTGCTTTCTTTTGGCTGTAGGAAAATTCATTTTGGCAAAGTCCAAATTATTGCAGACATGCACGTAATCCTTACTTTTGAATGAAGATTCTATTAGTTGCTAATGCAGACTTTTATTTTAAAGACAAAGAATATGTAATTAGCATATTAAATGAGCATATTTCCTATTGAATCCTCCTTTGACACACAAGGTGTTTGCATGGAAATGCTGCTGCTGAACAGAGAATAAACCCCAACTCCTTTTTATTGAATGTCAGCAGCTAATTTAAATTCCAACATTGCATCTGTAGATATACAGAGTAATTCTAGAAACTTCAGTGAAAATAATGTAGTTAATAGAGATTTCCATGTGTCTGGTTAAAATCAGGTTCTGGCCTGTGTGCAGCAGACATTAACCAACTTTCACTTGTACCTATATAATTCATTGCAGATAACTGATTTTGCTAAAGCCACCGCTGATTTATTCTAGCTAAGAACTAATCCCTTTGATTTCTACAAATTATTAATCTTCAAGCAAGATATATGGAGGTAGTTTGCAGTGAGCTTTGCAAAAATAATTTCTTAGCTTCCGATTCTTCAGGAACCTAGACTGCCAGTGGAGCATTTGCATTTCTCTTTTTAACATCAGCCTAAAAATAGGTTTAAGATAAAGATGCTCAGGTAACTTGACAGCAGAGTGACTTGGAACAAATAGAGGCTTAGAGGGAACATGATGAACAAAGAAAAAGAATTGCTAGGAAGGGTGGATGGAATTCTCTGTGATTAGAAGAAAACATAATACACACATTCAGTTAAACTCTGAAAGCACTTAATTAGACATATGGTGTGTGGTAGAAGGACATAAGCATTACGTCCATTTGAAAACAGGGAAACTGAGCTGCATGGCCTGAAGTGGCTGCCCAAGAGTACTGTGGGCATGTGCAGAACAGAGCCCACTCAAAGGGGCCCCCACAATGTCACACGAGTTTTCAGGCAGAGACTCAGATTTTACCTGTGGGGTTGTTAGGCCACCTGTGAGTGGGATGAGACAGCAGTGGCTGAGGTTGTGCTTCTCCTTGGTGTCCCCACTTACTTGATAACCCTAATATCCTAGAGAAAACTGAAGGTTAACACCACTTCATGCCATAAAGGATTCTGGATTTGAGAAGAGGGAGATACTATAAACTGTATCATGGCACCTGCACACAAGCTTTTGTAAAATGTTACATCAATGTCTCACTTGGCAGAGGGACAACACCATGAGAAGGGAGAGTTGCAGTCTTCCCATGAGCTCCAGGGAGATGGACAAAACTTTTTGAAAATATTCCTGGTACTGAACTCACTAATTAATTGGAAATGCAGCTTATTTCCTTTTCATAGGTTTCAGTTTTGTGTCAAATCCTAAATACATATAATTGGAGAAGAAGCATGTGTTATTTCATACATTCTGTATGCAAGTCAAAACATTCAATTTTGGAAGACACTCTGGGTGAAGGCTGTATTTGCTATTACTCACTCCTCTGATACTTCTTTTCTTTCCACTGTCTGATTCACTTCTTTAATCATATTTCCTCTCTTTTGCTCTTCCTCAATCATACCCACCTACTTAAAACTAATCACATACTAAAAAGTGCATAATTAGGTTTTCATTATGTTCTTTCCTGACATAATTTTTGATTATGTAATTAAGGGTTCTCACTGAGCTCTTGAACTGAGAGAAGATTTTTGGTTTAATTAATCAAATGGTCCTTCTCAATTCAGAGTAGCTTTAAGTAGTTTTGTTTTTAAGTCAGGTGCAGAAAGTGTTTCTATTACTCCTGACATAATGCTATATGATCTGATCTTTACCCTCTAAAGCCAACAATGGAGAAGCACAGCCTTGACAACAGGCTCAGGTATATTTATCTAAAGAAAAGAAGATATATCAAACTTCAATATGCTTGACATAGGATGATTTTTAAAACTTTTTCAAATTCTTTTTTTTTCTATTGTGAAATGGAAGTTTGTCAGATTTTTATTAAATAGTCAGTTATACTGGGGTTGTTCCAAGTGATTTTT